ACTGGCCTTGGCCCATCAATCCAGCCTGTCCAGATCCCTCTGTAGGGCCATCCTACCCTCAAGCAGATCAACACTCCCGCCTAACTTGGTGTCATCTTCAAACTTATTGAGGGTATACTCAATCCCCCCGACCAGATCATTGATAAAGCTATAAAAGAGAACCATCCCAATTCCGAGCCATGGGGAACACCACTTGTGAGTGGCCGCCAACTGGATTCCACTCCGTTCACCACTATGCTTTGGGCCCAGCCATCCAGCCAATTCTTTACCCAGTGAACAGTACCCCCGTCCAAGCCATGAGCAGACAGTTTCTCCAGAAGAATGCTGTGGGAAACAGTTTCAAAAGCTTTACTAAAGTCCAGGTAAACAACATCTACAGCCTTTCCCTCCTCAACTACGGAAGTCACCTTGTCATAGAAGGAGATGAGGTTTTTCAAGCAGGACCTGCCTTTCATGAACCCATACTGACTGGGCCTGATCACCTGGTTGTCCTGCATGTCATGTAACGGCACTCAGAATGATCTGCTCCATAACCTTCCCAGGCAACAAGGCCAGGCTGACATGCCTGTAATTCCCTGGATCCTCCTTCTGGCCCTTCTTGTAGATGGGCATCACATTTGCTAACCTCCAGTCAACTGGGACCTCCCCAGTTAGCCAGGACTGATGATAAATGATGGAAAGTGGCTTGGTGAGCACTTCAACCAGCTCCCTCAGTACCCTCAGGTGGATCCCATCCAGCCCCATAGACTTGTGTATGTCTAAGTCCTGTAGCAGGTCCCTCACCATTTCCCCTTGGATTATGGGGGCTTCATTCTGCTCCCCACTCCTATCTTCTAGCTCAGGGGGCTGGGTACTCAGGGAACAACTGGTCCTATGATACTGAGTCAAATACACATTAAATGCAAAATAAACAGAATAGTTGTTCTCTTGCATACTTCCCTTTACCAAAGAATGACCCTGTGACTACTTTAGGAACTGGATTAAAAAAAAAAAAAAACAAAAAAAAACCACACACCCCAAACAAACAAACAACCCCCAACAACCAACCAAATACACACCACCACCCCACCCCCCCCAAACAAGACATTTCCATTTTCGTCAAAATATAACTTTTCTCATTACCTCTTCTCTGGATGTATCAAAAATCACAGGGGCTGTTACACTTTTCAATTCCATTCTGGGACCTACTAACGTAGTAGGTGTTACAGGAGTGATTGCAAGAATAGGTTCTGGTGAAAGTACTGGATCCCTTTCTGGACTGTCCAATGAAACTTCTTCTGTGGCTTCTAGATAAAGATTTTGAGTTATCAAAAGTTTTTGTACAATAGATATGGATGTGCACCACAAAAGATACCAAGCATACACATTAGAAAGTGATAATACATAAGTTTAATAAGACCATTTACAAATAACATCCATTTGTCTCTCAGATAATTTATCTAAATATGTCTGCAAAACTAGAGGCGACATCCGAGTGAATAAGAGGTTAAAGTAAAATTAAGTATGCAATTTTTTTTTTTATATGCTTACAGGTAAAGTCTTTTAAAGCAGTCACAAAACAGCCAAATCATTCATTTCTATATAATATATGATGAAAACTAATGACATTTTTTGCACCACAGACCGCTCTTTTTCAGCGCCTATGCCAAATGTAGGTTTTGCACTCTGAAGAACAGCCGATTAAGTCATATAGGCTGATAACTGAGCATACCAAGAGAAGTTCTTGTTCTGGTTTGAGCGACACAGGACTAGTTTCGCTTCTAATGCTTGGGAAAACTGCACTTTTAGAAGACTCCAGTGTCTGAATTTGTGAAAATAGTTACTTTATAGCCAGCTATGGTGTATGGGTTTCAAGGTCTCAGTGGTTTTCAAGCTTGCCAGGTGCAGGGATGAGGAGGAACGAGACTCAGGCACTTGACCCAAGCTGGCCAACAGGATTATTTCATACCATGAACGGCACATTCAATATAAATTAGAAAGTTTGCTGAGGAGCTTTCTCTCTCTCCCTTGATGGCTGCCATCCTGAGAACTTCTTGCCCGGTGCCAGACCCCTGAGCCATTCCCTGCCTCCTGAAGCCGTAGCACTTAGTGACCGACATCTGCTGTCCACTGCTGGGAGTGCACAGCTTCCTACTGATAGAATTGGCTGAGTATAATCCTTGTATATTTTATATTGCTATTGGGATCAATGCTGGTTCTTTAGTGTTATTAATGTTAATTATCTAGTCTTATTCTATTAAATCTTTATATTTCAACCCCTGGGTTTCCTTGTTTTTTCCCCAATTCCCCTTCCCAGGTGGGGAGAATAATTGTCTAAACGACAACAAATTGTTGTGGGTTTCTCAAACCATAACAGTTATATATGAACACCCCTTACCAAAAGCCTACAACTCATTAAATACAAATATTAGTAGATGAGGCATTCTGACCAGTAAGACTAACTACTTAATTTTATTTTCTTCAGACTGTAGATAATTCATCTATATATAAAGAGATGTTTTTCCCCTCCTCTGCCTCTCTCTTTGAGAAGGGGTAGGGGGGAAATATCTGTCACGTGCTCTCTCTCTCTCTCTCTCTCTATATATATATATATCTGTGTGTATAGATTTGATAGATAAGGATAGGTTCAAATCCATCCTCATTGGTCAGCCCAACATTAGATAAAAAGTAATAGTGATCTGAGCAAATGGTATGGAATAAGGGGTGGAACATCCTGGTTTGAGGTAAAACAGAACCAATTTTCTGTTAGAATCATAGAATGGTTTAGGTTGGAAAAGACCTTGAAGATCATCAAGTTCCGACCCCCCTGCCATAGGCAGGGGCACCTCCCACTTGAC